ATTTAAGTGAATAACCAATTACCTTGACCCGGCGGGAGTTGAACCTTGGACGACTGCGTTGCGAACCCAGCACGCTAACCATCAACTGGGATATCTGCTGCATGTGCCAAGAGACGGGTGGGAAACTTACGTGTCCAGCACTTAATCCCAACATAGCTTACATAAATGTAGGCTACAATGTCATTTCTGCCAATATAGAAAAATTAAAAGGCAGTAGCCATGTGTTTATCTCTGGCCGGAGAGCTGAACACTTTGATGAGGGCTGTGGCGTGAAGGAAACCATGATTAAACAAAAGGCCAAGTGGCATAAAAAGTGCATACTTGACTACACGACGAGGTTTCCCGAGGAACCTGCCACACTTACCTCTAAAAATACAGTGCAAGAGCAGAAAACGACCGACATAAGAACCCGATCCTCCTCAGTAGCTATCAATCCAAAAGAAGAAGTATGCTTTCTCTGCAAAAAAACTGAAAACAAAAATCAGCCCCTACACCAATGTATGACATTTGAAATTTACAATTCAATTAAGGAATATGCGAGTAAGGCGCAAGACAGTGAAACATTAGCTTTTCTGGCAGAAGGAGATCTTGTAGCGCAAGAGGCAAAGTACCATAGCATTTGTGTTCTCAATCTGCACTCCAAAGGCAAGGGTTTTTGCAACCAGGAAAATAATGATAGTGATGTTTGTGATAGTTTGGCGTTTGCAGATTTGCTGTTGTATATGCACGGACAGCTTGAAGAATCAGGGACAAAATGTGCATTCAAAACTTCAGATCTGGTGAAGTTATACAATGACAGGTACTCTCAACTTCTTGGAAAAAAGCGTCCATTAACAGATGTACACAAAACTAGATTTAGAGAGAGAATTTTACTACACATTCCCGATCTTCAGGCTATTAAATCGGGCAGAGAATATATTTTAACAACTACAAATTTGAATATTTTGGGAAATTTTGAAGTTTCGAATGATGATTTTGATGCCTTGGCAGTAAACAGATTTATTAGAAACATCAGAAAAACTGTGTTCTCAAGTGATATAAAATTTACAGGCAGTTTTGAGGAGAACTGTGAAGAGGCTTGCATACCCCCCACACTTCTTGCTCTCGTAAGCATGCTTTTGTATGGTTCTGTAATATCATCTGAAGTCCGGGGGACAAAACCAGCTATTAGTATCAGCCAGTTTTTTCTTGCTAACATGTTGAAAAGTAGACCAACAGGGAATATTGTAAGGTTCAATAAGAAACGTGAACCACCTCTTCCTTTGTACATCGGGCTGTCTGTGTTCGGATCTTCACGAGACAAGACACTAATTGACAACCTTCACCAGAGAGGCATATCTGTATCATCAAATCGTATCTACGAGCTAACCGCCGATTTGGCCCGTTTTGTGACAAAGAGAGCTGAAGAAGAAGGTGTTGTGTGCCCCTCAGGCCTTCAGAAAGGCATCTTTACAGTAGGCGCCTTTGACAACATAGACGTGAAGCCATCAAGCACCACGAGCGTTGGAGAGTTCCACGGCTCTGGTATTTCTATATTTCAGCTGCCTTTAAATGGAGAAGTCCCACTTCCAAGAACTTGGACTACTACGTTCGAAGAAACGGCTGTGAGTGGTTCACGGAGCGTCCCACAACTCCCAACTTCATACTCACGGGTTCCTGAGGATTTTACGTTAAAAAATCCACAGCCATCGCCTCCTACATATTCTTCAGATGTGCGTGAAACCATCATTCGCGTCGCTGGTAAGAACAACGCTGTGCATAAAAAATAATGACATGAAATTATTAAACATAAATCAATAACTTACCTTAATTGTACTTACACAGGGACTGAAGAACCATGGCACGGAGAGCTAGACTGGCTTGACCATGTTCACGTTCAGTTGACAGAGAAAGATTCAGCCTTCGCCACGAATATATCCTGGTCAGCTTTCCGTGCGGAAAAGCAAGGAAGTTGCCCGCTCGATATTTCAAATAACTGTTTGCTTCCCCTTTTTGAGGAAAAATCAGCTACTCCTGGCATGGTGAAACATGCTATGGATTTAACTAAAGCAACTACAGATTTTCTTAATCCTGGCCAGATCCCTGCACTGTGTTTAGATCAGCCGTTGTTTACGCTAGCCAGACTGTTACAGTGGAATTATCCTGAAACATACGGAGAAAATAAGTTTGTTCTTCTTTTTGGACCATTGCACATAGAGCAGAATTTTCTGCGGGTTATAGGAGACGTATTAGAGGGGTCTGGATGGAGCGAAATTGTAGCCAACTCTGGTATCCTTCCTAGTGGATCGGCAGAAGGGCTGAGAAAGGTAGTGGCCCTTAAATCACGTACAAATTACCTGTACAACCTTATCTAAAAGTGTTATTATTTTGCAGGTATCCAGTATTACCAAATCTCGCCTTTTCCACCAATACACGGCGGCAGTGCTTTATTCACTCTTGCAAGATGCTTTTCTTCATGATCACCCTGACTCTGACGTAGCCATGGAAACTTGGATTGAAGAAAATGCCACAAGATCGCCCACATTTAAGTTTTGGCTTTTAGTTTTAAAACTTGAGCTGTTACTTCTCAAATTTGTGAGGTCCGTGCGTGAGGCACAGTTCGATGCTTTTAAAGAGTCTATTATTGCTATGCTTCCATGGTTCTTTTCAACTGGCCATCACTTGTACGCTCGTCGGCTCACAGTACATGCATTGGATCTTTTGTCACTCGAAACAAATGCTCCTGAAGTGCACCGCCGTTTTTCCATGGGTACGTTTCAACACTTTAAGTTCAATACGTGTGCGAGTGTCGTACAACTGAAGGTGAGTGAAAAGAATTCATACTCCTGCAAGTGTGCGACAGAATTTTCACATTCCTGCAGACGTGTGAATGAGCATTCACACACCTGAAAAAGAGTAGACGGCTATCTGTTCAAGTGTGTGAATATTTTGTTACACACCTAGGTGTGTGAATATTTTTCCGAACTGGATGTGTATGAATCCTTTCACTCATCTGCAAGTGTGCAACATTCGCAAATTTGGATTAACATTGCACAATTTTTCTAGTTTTAAAAAGCAATCATCCATTGCGATAACAATATTAACATATGGCATTTCTATGTAGGATCGTTTGTCGTCCGAAAAACTCAGAATTCGTTCTCAGCACTTGGAATTGACCATGCACACGAACAAAATAATGCTTCCATTAAGTCAGCCGGTGGAGCTCTAGGGTTGACTCAAGACTCAGCTGCTCTCAGGCGCTGGACTGTCGCTGGTCCTGAGGTGATGCGTCTGCTGACTGAGTTTGAAGGGAAGCAAGATCAGCAGAAGGATAATAAGCATCACGAGCAGTACCCCAAATTCCAATTGCAATTTTTTGAGAACTGTGCTGCGCTGAAAGAAGGGTTCCTGCAAAGTGAAAATCCATTTTCGATGAAGAATCCAGAACTTATGGCATTAGATACAAGAATTGAAATTGGTGAGAAAGGAAGTGAAGCACTAAATACCTTAGAAGATCGAGGCATTAAGCTGCTGACGGATTTTATAGTTACAATATTTGAGACTAATGAAATATCGTTTTATGCCCCCGTCAAAAAAGAGTGTGTTCAAATATTTACCCATAAAAAGAAGGCAAAAACTTCATTAGTAACTGAACTCAAGTATGATCTGCATTTGTTCTCGCGACTTTTCATTGTCAGCCTTGCACGGTCCTTAGATCTTCAACAATTTTTTAATTATGAGAACCAGGAATGCCCACCTGCTCTTTCAGAATTTGGCAATCTCCGGACAGGGCAAAAAGCTAAGCTAGTGCCAATTTAAGAGAATCTTGCTGGAGATGCACGTAAGTAGACAAAAGTGCAACTTTCGTACCTTTTAATTTGCAAATCGGGTTCTACTTATAGTGCTTACCTTTCTTAAATAGCGTTTCATGACGCCTGTGATGGCATAGTACTGGACGGAGCAGCTATAGTGCGCATTGTAAAGCCAAGGGAAGGGACCGCTTCATTCCAAGAGTTTGGTAACCAAGTCACAAACTATTGCACTAACATGGCTTCGAAGATGGGCTGCAACAGAATAGATATTGTTTGGGATCAATACAATGAAAACAGCCTCAAGGCCACAGCACGTGAGTCACGAGGAACGGGTGCAAGACGTCCTGGTCTCCCCCAGAAAGGTTCGCCTGAAATAATAAAAATATTAGTAATGTTAAACATAGTTATATTAATAATAATAAAAATTACCTATTTCTTGATTAATAGCAGGAACATTTCCAAAGCGTCATAAACAGTGGGAAGAATACTTGAAAAATGACGGAAACAAGGCAGAACTTTTTGTTTTTTTAGCTGAAATTGCTTTAACAACTAATACAATGCAAGTTGTAACAAATGTAAAAGATATTATCAGATCTAATCTATCTCAGGTAACGGCATTTTTCCTTTTGTATTAGCCTTTATTTAAAACTTTCTTCCCGACCAACGAATATTACCGGTAATTTTTCAGAACTCCGCCCTGAACGGAATAAGTTGTGCCGGAATGGAAGAGGCAGATGGGCGCCTTTTCCTTCATGTCCAAGATATGGTTCAGCACGGTGCTAAATGTGTACTCATTAGGTGTTCTGACACTGACATTGTGGTGATTGCAATATCATATTATCACCATTTGCACAAATTAGGGCTTAAGGAGCTGTGGGTGCAATATAGCGTGGGTACGAGTAAGCGCTTCATTTCTGCGCACTCCATTGCCCAAAAGCTGGGTGACGATAGGGCATGTGCACTTCGTGGCTTCCACGCGTTTACAGGCTGCGACAGCGTCTCTTTCTTTAATGGAAAGGGCAAGGCATCGGCGTGGACCGCATGGGACCCGACAGATGAACAAATGACCAGGGCCTTCAAGATTTTAGGAATGCCCAGCAAAGACCCACCTGACCACATCCTTCCCGTTTTAGAACGATTTGTTGTCGCTTTGTACAAAGCAGAACCCTGTCAAAGTGTCGGCGAGGCACGTCAGCAGCTTTTTACCGCAGAAGGAAAGCCACTTCTGTTTATTCCTTGTACCTTTGGTGCACTGAAGCAACATACCCGGCGGGCTTCTTACCAGGGGGGGCAAATCTGGGGAAGTTGGAATGTTGGGATGATGTTCCGTCGCCGGCTGGTTGGGGGTGGAAGATGGAGAATGGCCAGTGGGTCCCTCATTGGACAGCAGAGCCCAACATCTGGCAAGCATGCAGGGACCTGAGTGTGTGCGGGTGCACAACTCGTTGTTGCACAAAACGGTGCTCCTGTAGAAAAGCTGGGCTACTTTGCACTCCTGCCTGCAAAAAGTGCAAGGGAAGCTGTGACAACAAGGAGTAAGTCATACAGTTATCCACGTAAACAAAGTATTAACAACCGACGGTAACCGATAATACTTACATTTTTATCCTTTCCTAGGAAGGAGAGTGAGAGAAATGCTCCCGAACCCGACGAGGACGTGGATGGGGACTTGCTCTCTTCTTAATTGTGTCCACTTCAAGTTTTGCATCTAAATTGTTTTATAGTGTTTTACTTTGTTTTACGTACTGACATTGCTACCTATTTACAATTTTATAATTGTATTGTGTTCTGGTAGATTTTTTTTTAAAAAAAAAAATACTTTTGCTCATTGTGTTATAAGTTTACCTTCAATAACTCCAAAAACATTTACTCAAATATTACTCTTAAAAGTAATATGACGATTTCAACGGGTAGTGTCCATGTTACAGCTAAACCGGAGGCTTCATCGACTTTCTCACTCTAGTATAGTGCAGAAGAAAGTCAAACTTTACGTATGTAGTAAAAATTCGAATTTTGGGTCATTATGAACATGTACCTAGCGTGCTGTACAGTGGTTCAAATGAACTAAAAGTCGACTTTTGGTTCATTAGACCTCATACACTCGTCAAAACATTTAGCGGTCCACTTTTTTACGCGTGGATTAAATTATCTCCCC